ATCATGCACTTAAACCTGATAGAACACAACCTGATGTGAGCGCCTGACGCTGCTGCTGTAATTTACTCGTCTCAGCGCAGCAGCACCCCCCGGACCGGGAGGGCTCTGCAGCATCTCCGTCCGCCGCCGCCGCTGCCGCTACTGCTGTTCCTGCTGTTCCACACTTTAATCCAAAACAGGAAATTGAAGCGCTACAGAGCTTGTCATCGAATGACTGTACAGCCGATGCATTTCAAATTTTCTTGTTAGACTCTGTAAGTGGATGTCTTCGGCTATTACAAAGTGTGACCTGCCAATTAAAGTGCTGGCTTTCAGCGGAGTCTAATATAGCGTGCACTCTGAAATTTATCGAGCGCTATGTGGACATTTTGGAGCGGTGGAAATGCACACTGGCAGATTAATAGGGGGAAATATATTTTTACTGGCTTCGGATGCCTCGGAGGAGTTGTGATGTAGTAGATCTTCCTTCTGGGAAGCTGCGGGACTGGATGCTCTGTAAAGACCAGCATCTCTAAAGTGGTGTGTGTCTTTAGATTTGAGTTTGAAGCTTAGATTAGGGCTTGACTAAAAGGGAACAGGTCAGGGAGAACACTAATAACCCCATTCATGTAAATGAGCACAGTGCATGTTGCTGCATTGCTGCATGGGCTTGAGTTAGTGAGGTCTTGATCAGCACTTTGGATCTGCCTGTGATGACTTTGCTAAAGAAAACTTTTTTAGGGGGGCATCCATGTTTTATGTTTGGTGTGGGGATTAAAAGGGATATCCAGCATTTTGGAGTCAATTTACTGGGCAGTAAAAAAGTCACATTCTCTCATGGACTGTTGTGTGTGTGTGTGTGTTTTTTAAGTAGTTTTCTTAAAATGATTTACTCTGAAGTTTAAAGTTGTATCATTTCTTTAATTTGATTAGACTTTGCACATACTGTACGATATGGTGAAGCTTTATTTTGACTTTGTTATATATTGATGAGCATTAAGGTCAGTGTTAAAAGGTGAAATCCTGAAGTGAAAATAATTTTTGATCAAATATATCAAAGAGAAAGTACTTATGTTTACACAACTGTGTTCTTCTTAACAATAAAAGTGTGAGGTGGAATCAGCTAGTTTCCTTCTCTGTACTTTTCTTTTTGTCGTCTGATATTTAATAAGACCAAATTAGACATGTTCAGATAAAAAAAACTTTAAATATTGTGCAGATAACATAGATCAATATTTATGGTTGTGTTCCCTGTGTAAAATATTACACTTTTTTAGTATAGAAGGTGGTAGAGTAGTTTTAAAAAGTGTACATACTGTTATAAAATGTAGTCCTTTTGACAAAATCATGAAGAAAAATAAAAAAAATATATACAAATATAAATATATGTAAAAGGAACCAAATGAAGAAAATAACTGACAGAAACATATATGTCCACACCTGAGATAAATCCCTCTGATGTTGAGGGCTGCAATTGCAGTTGAAATGTTTTTTGTGTGTTTTTCCTGATCAGTGAGATTTTGTGTCTCCTGAGTGATGGAGGGCATGAAGCACTCATGCAGATGGGTGAGTGAATTTTGTTTGGAACGTCATTTGTGTTGCAAGATTTTTTGATTTCTGTTTCTAGTGAAAATAATTGTATCAAGATGTGATACTGAAAGCGAGAATAAGTGAGGATGGATTCTATAAACCATGACAGAAAAATCTTTTTGAGAGCTTTAAAATATCTCTGCTTCCTGAGAAGATGGAGAGGCTGGTCAGCTTTGTAATCCTGTAATTGGAGGGCAGTTGTTCATTTGTGACCCCTGACAGGCAAACCTCTCCGTCTGATCAACCTGATTGGCTGAGATGTGGCTGCTGCTCCGTCTCTGCCCACATGGCATAACCCTTCGGGTTTCTCACCAATAGTTGTGACTGATAAGTCACAACTATTTGACTTTTCGGTCACAACTATCGTGACCGATATCGGTCACAACTCACGCTGTTACTGAAAGAACAGGTTGAGCAATTACGGTCAGGTACTGCAAATTCATTTACAAAATGTTTGTAAAAAATTGCCAGACCTGCTTCTGTGGAGCATCAGTTGATAGAGTCAGTTTTCCTTGTCGGCGGATTTGATTGACTGAGGATCTGTCAGGTTGAGGAACGACCGATTGTTGTATAGTTTCTGAATTTTTAATTTCAACAGCAAGAGGAAAAAGGCACCTGACAGGGCTGCGCATTGTTGTTGTTTGTTTTATTTTTTGAACATATCTGGAAATAGTACCCGTGAATTCACCAATTTTGATGAGATCTACAGTTCCACAGATTTGGCTCTTGTTGACTCAAGGACCGGGAATTGAAATACAGCCTCTGACCACAGGGCTTTCCCAAGTTGCTTAAAAGGATAGCAAACAATTTAGTAATTGTAACTGACCTAAAACAGAAAAAGTTAAGTCGTCTTAATATTATAGAGTAAGAAAAAAATGGTCTTTTGTCTTTTTTTGTGTGCTCTGCCGGTTTGTTTTCCTGGCTGCATCCTCTGCTCATCTGGAGTCGTGCTCTTCCTGAAATCCTCCGCCGTGATGCATCCATCTGGCTGGAGCTCTCAGGAGGAGGACTGTATTTTTAGGCCTGTAAACAGAGACCTGCACTGTGCCAAAGAACCATTATTTTTAGGGGACCAACACTTAAAATGCTGTAGCAGTTATACTCCTCTTGTAAGGACATTTAAAAGCGGTGCTTCCCAAAGTGGGAGTCATAAACCATATAGAGAATTAGAGGATTTTTAAATAATAGAAATCCAGTACCTAAAAATATTTGTTGTGAATATGATGATAAAGCTATTGTAAACATTTTGTGAAAGCAGATTTTATCTCCTTGGGTTTAAGCTAACAGCTTTACTGTACTTGCTGAAGAAAAGCAGCTTCGCAGCAGGATGCTGGCACTAAACTATCCCTGCGGGGATGGTGATTTCAGGGAGATGTGCAATGTTAGTTTTCCTCTGCATAAAGCATTTTTGATGAAGAATCTTTTTTTAACTTATTTTATCTAATCAGACCATCCTTTTCCAAATGTTTGTTGTGTTCATTGTAAGGTTTTTGTCAAACTTATAAGCTCATCAAAAACCTCGACTGACAGCCACAGTACACCATTGCATATCTGTCTTGTGTTTCATTTGCAAATTAAAATGCTTTAATTAGATAAAGCTCCAGCATATGCAGGTGAATCTGTAGCATATCTAATTATTCTTCAGGGATGGAGGTTGCAACTGATGTTTATTATACATCAAAACATACGGTGGCATCTCGCTAAATAATCTCGCTAAATAAAATAATCATTTAAAAAACTTGATTTTTAGGTACTAATTTTATTTTTGTCCAAGCAAAATTAGTCTGATGCAAGTGTAACCAAAACAAAGTACAAGTGCGAAAGCAATTTAATGCCTATAAAAAAAATTCAAAGAAAAAAAAATATTATAAAAGCCTTTGGCTCAAATCCTGAACCAAAATTTGATAAGCTAGGAATTACGTTTTTTAATTTTTTATTATTTGTTGCAGTTTCGAAGACACTCTGTCAACGTCAGTAGGGTTTGGAAAATGTTTGTTAAATAAGTAAAACCACAATCATTGACAACCAAGGCTTGGTGATAAATAAACTTGGGTCACTATGGGCATCGTGTTCTTTGACTGACCAAAGGAATCTTTTTGCAGAAGGTAAATTTACTAATGACGCATGTTGTTTGTAATGTGCGAAATACTGTAACAACATGAAGCAATTAAAATGAATGTCAAAGACTCATCCATCCTCAATAGCAAGCCAGTGAAATGTGGCTGTTTTATTTGCTCATAGTTTCTACAGAATGAATTACATCTGTTTTAATCAACATTATGTTGTACTAGAAATACCTGTGTCTGTTTATTGCTTATCAGCTCTTGTCCCGATTCTCTCATCCTCATCAGCGGCACTCTTTCTATTCTAGTGTTGCTGCAAATTGTCCTCAACACTCTTTGTTCTAATTTATCTTCACTATGTTGAGCTGTAAGTGTGAATTCTACCATTTTCCTTCACAATGAGTTGTGGGATGAGGACACATTTATTTTGTTAATGAGGAATTTTTATTTATGATAAATAAAAATGACTACGTTTGCTGTCGTAACTCATTAAATTGTACAAACAAAAGAAAAAAGATGAAGGTTATACTTTTGCACATTATCCATACCTAAACAAACTCTACCAACATTTTAGTGACTCCATGGTGATAATATAATAGCAGCTTTACATTATTTCATTTCAACAAGTTTCTATTATTTAATTTTGCAAATGAATGGTATTTAACAATCAAGAATTTAAGAGTTCACGTCTATTAGTGAATATCAGTGAGGTTTTCCAACTCTGATGTTAAACAGCAAAAACTGTTCACTTAAAAAAAATAAATAAATTGCAGAGCAGGGATTTGAAAATAGCTTCCTTGAAATTATGTTACAAATTAAGTCACTCATCATTCAGAAGAACGGCATCTGGAGAGTTCTGAAAACTATACCAACTCAATCAGAGTTTAGTATTTGGTTCATTTCGACTACTTTTATTGGCAAAATATTATTGTCATTATACTTCCTTGAACTCTGGACCATTTTTTTTTTACTTTTTAAAAAATGTATCAGGTTACACTTAACTTGCTCGCATACGCAGAACAAGTTATTCTAGGTGTGCCTGTAATCTGACTGCCTTTTCTGTTATGCTCCCTTCTGGGAGCTAATGAAAATGAATAATTATTAATATGTTTGGCTGTGTTTTCTCTACCTTCTTCAACACCCCATAGTTAAAGAAGCACTGTCTATCCCAGTAGTTGTGCTTGCCAACAGATTTTTCTAGACGCTGGTTGAAAAAGGAGACAGTTAGCAGTTACAGCCTCCTGCATGGCAGGATTGCTAAATGTAGCAAAACTGGAAAAGTGAGTCGTGACAACCAGTCTGTTCTGAGATGTCCCCTGCCTGACAGGTATGAAAAACATTAATATGCATTCAGTTCACTATTCTCCTTCACAGTTTGACAAACCGCAGCTGATTGACTTGGTCAACAATGTTGAAGTGCTGCAACTTGTCTCCGGAGGAACACATCAGCAGAGAAATAGAAAAACAGATTAGAAAGGACAAAGAAAAACTGAAAAAGGAGGTGAAGCTGCTGCTTTTAGGTAAGATTTTAGAAATAATCTGTTCCATCAGTTTTCAGACATTTTGCCGTGGCCTGGCTTTAAGCTCACATTAATGAGTCCAATGCTGTTTTTATTGTTAATCGGATACATTCTATTAATGTTTGTGTTTTTTCCATTTGATTTTAACATAAGTTGCCAACTTTTCAACTCTCGATTGCTGTATTTACCTAGAACCTTGTTTATCTGTTAAAAATCTCTTCACACACACGCACACGTTTGTGTGTGTTTTAGTCAGCTGTCAGAGCATCAAGTTTAGACTCAACAATGGTTTGTGGTTTGGGGGTTTCCTGTGGTGCATTTTGTCAAAAGTTTTTGTCTTTGAAAAATTTATCTGCCTCCTGATGCCTGAATTTGGACTAGTTTCAGTGTCAAAGTCTGCTGATATTACTGAACAGACATCGTTTGCATATTTTCCAGAGATAAGGATGTGGGTTGCCTGAAGTTCACAAAAATTTGCTGTTCGCATTTGGATTGTGACAACAAAACATGTACAGATTAGTTAAAACAATATGACCACCTGTCTGATAGTGCCCTCCCCTTCCCTTCCAAAGCAACTCTGCTCTACTTTGCCTGCAACTTCATTTCTCACTTCCTTTTAGATGGTAAGATGGACTGCGAAAGTCTCTGACGTAACGACCTTTAAAATGACTCAATGAAAGCCTACTTCTAAATCAAATTGGCAATATTTGGTGAGGGTTGAAAATTGTTGTTTCCACTTAATCTGACAGAGTTGAGCCATTTTGCAAAGAAAAAAAAAACAGGCAGGATTTCAGTCTCTTTGTAGATTCTAGTTTTTGCTTGAGACAAAACCATCCACCTTTACTTTAGATAAATCGAAAATATGATAAAATATTTTTCCTAAATTAAGTCCAGTCGTTTATTTTGTCCTACGTTTCATTCTTTGCTTTGCTTTTAACACTTTGGACATTTTTCTAGGCACAGGTGAAAGCGGGAAGAGCACCTTTGTCAAACAGATGAGGATCATCCATGGAAAAGGATACAATGAATCAGAGAAAAAAGATTTCATCAAGCTGGTGTGTCAGAACATCATCACAGCCATGCAGGCTCTAATTGAGGCCATGGAGACTCTGAACATTGACTTTGTTGATGACGAAAATATCGTAAGAAACTTTTCTTCATGTGCCTTCTGGTGTTTTAAGATCTTTTGTCAGACAAAGTACAAGAGAAAATAACAGAAAAAGTTATTTACGCTATCGCTACATCCATATTGATCCTTCCTGAGAAAATCCATTTCGCATCTTCCTTTTATTATTTCCAAAGAATTGGCAGAGGCGAAACGGTTTGACTGAAACAAAAATGACCTTTCTTCTAATCAAAAAGTCAACATTAGCCTCTGTCAGCATCATAACAAAATAGACAGACAATGATTATCCTTTTTTCAACTTGTTTAATCATCCCCTTTCCAAACCTGGTAGGATCTTTATGAAAAAATGTACATTACCTGTTATTGTAAAAGCTTTGTTAGGTAATTTACATTAATTCAAACTATGCATTGCTGATGCCCGAACAAATTCAAAATTATTGTTAAATATGCCCAGATGGAAAAGTAAATTAGTTCAACTGTTGACTTTAAACATAGATTGTAAGAATCCCCCTTCTTAAAAAAATGTTCTTTTTTTTGTACAAGTCAATTAAAAGTTACTCTGATCCACACTTTAATTCTCAATAACCTCTTTCTCTTCCCAGATGGTGATGTATCTGGGCGGAGATATTTTTTAAGGATTCTGCAAATTACCATTTAAAGTTTTGGACTCAATAGTTAAACTTTTTTGTATCTTACAAATTTGCAAGGAAAATCCTGAAGTTGAGAAATTAAAAAGAAGCATCATCGTCAGCTGATGAACCGGCTTGTGCAAAATATACTATTACCATTTTACAATTAATCTGTTTACATACTCATCACTCTGCTTTCAGAGTGAGGCTCAGTTGAACATGTTAACAGAATTTTTCAGTGGATTTTGAAGGTTTAATCTAAAAAATTGGTTTCAATTGACTCCATTCTAAATGTCTCTTTGTTTGTTTGTTTGTTTCAGAGCTATGCAGACAAACTGAGCCCAGTGGATTCAACCGAGGTGTACAGGTTAGATTTCTGGCAGGTGGATGCAATTAAGCGAGTGTGGAGTGACCTTGGGGTGCAAAAGTGTTATGACCGGAGGAGGGAGTTCCAGCTGTCAGACTCTGCTAAATAGTGAGCTTTTAATTTTTACAGTACTCTTTAGCATTTATGAGATAGGATTGATTGTGTAATTTTTGTTATGTGTATATATATATATCTATATATATATTGAATTTGACAGTAGGGTTGTTTCTTCCTCTGAAAGGGGAGTTTTTCATTTCCACCATCGCCACATGCGTTCTCAATATGAGTGACTCAGTTTAGGAAGCAGTCCCCTGTTGATATATACTCATCCCAGAGTGAATAAAATGCTGATCTTGACTGTGTTGATTGATTATTATCACACTGAAATGTATCCAATTGTCTTTGATTCTGCCTGTTTGATTGACTTTTTTCTTTTTGTAAAGTGCCTTGAGATTATATTTGTTGTGAATTGGCACTGTGTGAACAAATTGATCTGAATTGAATTGATGCAACATCTGAAGTGGTAGAAAGCTAATGAAAAGACATACTGAAGAAAGTGAGACTAGAGTACATGAATGGTTTCATTAAATGTCCTTTATAAATGAGCTTGAACAAAATTCTGCTTTAGATTGCACATTTTACCAGATGTTTTTTTTTTCTTACTTTCTAGTTATCTGAGTGACATAGACAGAATCACAGCCCCCGGTTACGTTCCCACTCTGGAGGACATCTTGAGGGTCAGAGTTCCCACCACGGGCATTATAGAATATCCGTTTCCCATGAAATCAGTCATATTCAGGTACTGAAAGAACAGTTTTATCTTCTGAAAAAATAAAACTATGCAAGACCTGAAGTGAATACATTTAAAAGCAACATTCTTTGTTTTCAGGATAGTGGATGTGGGTGGCCAGCGTTCACAAAGGAAGAAATGGATCCACTCTTTTGAAAATGTCACCTCCATCATATTCCTGGCAGCCCTCAACGAATACGATCAAGTCCTTTACGAGAGTCAGACAGATGTATGTTCTAATCCAACATTGTCTCTACGCTTTTTCTATGGTTTTGTAGCTTGACATGGGTTTCTTTTTAAATTTAGTTATTTTACCTGTCTGGCTTTTTAGAACCGACTACGGGAGAGCCTCGACCTGTTCAAGACTCTCATTTCATCTCATTGGTTTAAGAAGTCCTCCACTATCCTCTTTTTGAACAAAACGGACCTGCTGCAGGAGAAAATCAAAACATCACATTTGGCATCTTACTTCCCAAAGTACAATGGTAAATTATGGAATCTCTCTACATTTCTACAGTGCAGATCTGTGCTGTTATCTGTTCCTTTGAATTTCATGCAAATTTAAAACTACAAGTCCAACAAATAATACAACACAAATAAATGTACATGTAATGTTATTATTATTTTTCTTACAAAAACAGCAGGGGATGAAGCATGAATTAATAAGTAACTAATAACTGTTCTGGTTGATTACAAATGAATCAATATGAGATTGGAAATAACATTAATATTATATTATTATTTTATGATATTTTTGCTAGATAAATTAATAGATTTCAGTTTTTTTACTAGTGTCTTTTTCTTGTGACATATAAATAAATCAAACTGCCACGGAGCAAACATATGTCTTACTTTGCAGTAAGTCTCAACATTATGAAAATCAGTCTCAACATTATGAAAATGTATAAAATATTAGTGTCATTACTGATGCATCTGTTCACCCTCTCAGTACGATGTTAATTCTCCAAGATCCAAGTCGACACAGGAAGCAGGGAGATTATAACCACTACTTGGTGGCTCATTTGGTGTCCATGTTGCCTTGCAGCATTAAGGTCCTGATGATATTCCTTGCACATCTTCATTGACCTGTTGCAATCGACTTGGTTTCCAGGGATTGAAAGCATTTTACGATTGGGTGTAATAAACTATACTTCACTGCAGTTCTTTATAACTAAAATTGGATTCGAACCTGTGTAATTGGGATTTAGTGTATTTCTAAAATAATATGTTGAACTGAGCTAAAATGAATGAAATTGATGCACTTCAGACAGAAATCAGAATCCTTGTTCACTTGATTTATTTGACTTTTGCAATTTTTTCATTCATTCTGTTTTTGTTAAATCAAGTAAAAAGAACAACGCTTTGTAAAGAACATCCTTTAAGGCACAAAGTCTTATTGCCAACTTATGTTAAAAAAATTGATAAAGTAAAAACAAAATTAAATGCATAATGTAATACAGAAGACATATGTGTGCTGTATCAATGATTTAAAGGGAAAGAAAACACTACTTCTGCAATGATAATAGATCAAAGTATCTTCATAGTTCATTTAACAAAAAATAATTAAACACCTGTGAGGGAAACACTGACAGTCACATGTTGAATACAAAATATAATTTGGCATTCTGTGTTGGCGTCATGATTTGTAAGTGATACGTTATTGGTGCTGATTCTGACCTCTTCATTCTCACAGGGCCTCGATATGATGCTGAATCAGCAAAATGCTTCATCAATCAGATGTACATCAAGCGTCACCAAGAGCAGGATAAACCCATCTACACACACTTCACCTGTGCCACAGACACTGAAAATATCCAGTTTGTCTTCGAATCAGTGCAAGACGCGATCTTAGGAGACCATTTAAAACATCTGGGAGTTTTATAACCCAGATCCAAGCGGTAATGCTTCACAGAGAACAGCCCTGCTGTCTTCAAAACCAATTTTCCTTGAACTGCTGCCTTCATGAAGCCCCAGAATGAAAGAGGTTGTTGGTTATTTGGTTCATAACATCCTGGGGATGATTACATATTCCAGAAATTTCAATGAATATTTTATTGAGGAAGAATGCCACATGTACTGGCTGAGAGGCGGAAATTAAAAATAGCTCTGCAAGCATTAGATCATACTAATGCTAATATTGATGTGCTCAGTAAAATTTTCAGATAATTCTAGTGAAAGACTGTTCAGAAGCTGCTACATTTGGACAAAATATAGATTTTGTCTTATGTTTGCCTGTGTTATTTTTTTCTGCTCATTAGAGTGTAAAAATGAAAGCAGACTGCATTCAGTTTATCATAACTTTGTTTTTGTTTTTCTTTATATCATTGGCAGATTTAGATTTAAATTATTAGTTTGCATCTGATGTGAAATGAGATTAATAAAACATATGAAATGTTTTTTTATTTATTTACAATCTAATAAAAAATAGAGCGTGTTCATTAGCACAATAAAAAGTATATTCCCTTCTCAGTCATCAATGGGAAAATCTTAACTGGCATTACAGCAATCTAATTATTGAAATAATTTCTGACCAGCTTTTGAACATTCCCACCAGTGAGTTATATTATATTTATTTGTCATGGCAGCCTCCAAGTCTTTGAAGTTGGAAGGCCTCCAGGCCATCATTCTTATTACTGTTAACTCCCTTTACAGATTCAAGTCAGGACTTCTTCTTTTAGTCTAAAATGGATTTGATGTTGTTTCAGAAGGAAGGAATTAACTCTTTTGTAGTAAAGGTTTTCACGATATCTCTCTTCTTGTCGTGTGTTGTGGTGTGAGGTGGTGAAGCAGAACGCAGCAGACCCAGGTAGAAATGAATGAAGGTGGTTTTAATCATGGAAATAAGCACAAAACAATCCAAAGTCCAAAATCCCAGGCAGTACAGCTGAGTGGAAGGCGAAGACTCAACACTGGCAGCGGCTGGTAAGGCAAATGGTCAGCTGACGGCAGACTGCTATGACACATAGACCCGACAAACACACAGAAACACAGGTGGCATTAAATACTAATCTCAGAAGGAGACACATCTGGGAACAATCAAGGGGAAGACAGGACGACACGGAGACTCAGAAGACACAGAAACTTAAAATAAATACACAGAAAAACTCAAGTCACGACACTTCTTTAATCTGGATAACTTGTGGTTTTGCAGTTTGGGAAAACCCTTCCAAGAAAGTCCAACAAAGCCGCTTTGACAAAAGAAAAGAACTTGAACAACATGTCTTCGTTGGCATTAAGCAGAGTCTGAATCACTCCAGGGTGTGCCCAAACCTTTAAAAAACTATCTTTCCAGCCATGTTCACTTTTGGCCAAAGACAAGCTATGACGACGTCTCACACAAAGAAGACCATCTGAAAACTATTGTTTATTTGAAAAATGAATAAATAGATAAAAAAAAATACACATTCTATGCCAAGATATTGTTTAGAGAACAACTCCACCTAAGAGCACTGGACAGTTTTATATGATGTCAAAGCTCTTCATTCAGGTCCTGCCTCCTGCACAGCAGGTATGTAAAGTTTACCGGCAGAGGAATAATGACTAACACGTCAACAATCTGCCTGTCCTGAGACATACAGGTTTATCTGGCAGGTATGAAAAACTCAATGGCAAACAGATTTTACCCGTTCCAGTCAGTGGTGGCAGTGTATCTGAAAAGCAGCCCGTGAATTTGGACAACAATGGACTGCTGCTATGAGTCTCCAGAGGCAAAGGAAAGCTATAGAATATCCAGAGAAATAGAAAGGCAACTGAGAAAAGAAAGACAAAATAATAAAAAGGAGGTGAAGGTGCTGCTTTTAGGTAAGATTTCTGAAATACCTTTTGTATGCTCCCTCTTTGGCAACTCCAGGTGTTGAAGATGAGTCTCTCTGGGTTTTTATTTGCGGAACTGGTTATTCAGCTGTTTTAGTTTCTTTTCCTCTTTTCTCATGATCCATCCTTCCACGTTTCTTCTACCTGATTGTAGTCAAACAAGTCTCACACTTTTCCACATTTTGTGACAAATATAAATGTGAGCACATTTTATTGTATTTCATGTTATAACCCAATCGAAATATTTTGAAATATATATATATATATATATATATATATATATATATATATATATATATATATATATATATATATATATATATATATATATATATATATATATATATATATATATATATATATATATATATATATATATATATATATATATATATATATATACCATGCATGGAGGGTTCCATCCCAAATCCAGCACCCTGAGACTGTACACGAGCCGCAAGGAAGGAGGCAGAGGACTAGTGAGTGTGAGAACCACTGTCCAGGACGAAACAACTAAGATCCATAAATACATCAGGGACAAAGCCTCAACAGACAATGTGCTCAGTGAATGTCTCAGACAACAGGGAATGGAGGTTGAGGTGCCAGAGATACCATCATGGGAGGACAAGCCCCTACATGGGATGTACCACCAGCAAATAACCCAAGTGGCTGATATCAGTAAATCCTACCAATGGCTGGAAAAAGCTGGACTCAAGGACAGCACAGAGGCCCTCATCCTGGCCGCCCAGGAACAGGCCCTAAACACCAGAGCAATAGAGGCCCAGATCTACCACACCAGACAAGACCCAAGGTGTAGGTTGTGCAAGGAGGCCCCTGAGACAGTCCAGCACATCACAGCAGGGTGCAAGATACTGGCAGGGAAAGCGTACATGGAGCGACATAACCAAGTGGCAGGCATAGTGTACAGAAACATCTGTGCAGAATATGGACTGGAAACCCCGAGATCAAAGTGGGAAACACCCCCAAAGGTGGTGGAGAACGCCAGAGCTAAGATCCTGTGGGACTTCCAGATCCAGACAGACAGAATGGTAATGGCGAACCAACCAGACATTGTCGTAGTGGATAAACATCAGAGGAAAGCCGTTGTGGTAGATGTAGCAATACCAAGCGATTGCAACATCAGGAAAAAGGAGCACGAGAAACTAGAGAAATACCAGGGCCTCAGGAAGAACTGGAGAGGGCCTGGAAGGTAAAGACCACAGTGGTGCCTGTGGTCATCGGGGCCCTCGGGGCAGTAACCCCCAAACTGGAGCAGTGGCTACAACAGATCCCAGGAACAACATCAGACATCTCAGTCCAGAAATGTGCAGCAGTCCTTGGCACAGCCAAGATACTGCGCAGAACCCTCAAGCTCCCAGGCCTTTGGTAGAGGACCCGAGCTCAGAGGATAAGAACCACCCGAGGTGGGTGAGAAGGGAATTTTTTTATTTTTATTTTATATATATATATATATATATATATATATATATATATATATATATTACTTGAAGGCTTTTATTTTATATTAGTAAGATAAAACCCGTCATGCTGAACAAGGAATATAGTTGTAGAAAAAAATTAAGACAGGGTTAGCTTTCAAAACAATATCCCCATGTTTCTCGGACCACATTTAATTCCATCATTCACAAACAGAAAAGAGTAACATGAAGCTGTTGTGTAAACTTGACATTGCTGCCTGCTTAACCCTCCTGTTGTCCTCGGCTCATGTCGACCGAGGACAAGCCCTTAAAAATATGTTTTTCAATTGCAGCTGCATACAGAAACGTTAATCTAACAGTCCTGCATCAGAACTACGGTGTGCACAACTCAGGGGGAAGTTTAGGCTCAAGCAATCCAAATGTGAACTTTACAAAAGAAATAAAGATAACCAAACCCAGGCCTCAGGTCAGACTGACCGGAAGACTAAGGAAATCACAGCTGGACAGGCAAACAGTATGGAATGGCATCACTGATCTCCGTAAAACTGATATCTTTTCAAATTTCCCCCCCTCCTGTTGCCCTCGGGTTGACATGACCCGAGGACAAGCCCTTATAAAACATTTTTTTAATTGCAACTGCATACAGAAACTTGAAATCTAACAGTCCTGAATCAGACCTACAGTGTTCACAACTCAGATGGAATTTTCTGCTGGAGCAATTCAAATGTGAACTTGACGAAAAAAATAAGAATAACCTCCTGTTGTCTTCGGGTCAAAATGACCCGAAGACAAGAGGAGGGTTAAACTGATAGGCCTGGAAAAGAGAGACAAAATGCCAAGAGATCAACAATAATTTTGGGGGAGATGTAGAGATCCGCAACGCAGATGGCAGGATCTGTTGGCATGGCAATTAATTTGCACTTTGTCAAAAGCCATGTTGGAGATCTAGTGTTGAAAAAAACCAAAGCTAATCTCTTAGAACTACATGCAGAGCCAGAAATGTAGTGAGAAAATAACACAGGATGTCCCGCAGAATGCTTCCTCCCCAACCGATACATGACGGTGCCGGCATCTTGTTAAGTCATTTGTGCTCTCGAAATGACGTGTACAAACGACTTAACATTCCTAAATCTGGAATGTAGACAACAGATAATAATGTTGGCGACAGAAAAGAGCAAATTGTGTGTGATTTATAAAACAGGTCAAATAGTTTTCCAAAACTTCCACTTGTATTTCAACACTTGTTGGATTTTGTAAATTTTAAAATCAAAACTTTGTGTTTGCAATATAGAGTATAACATAATTATTAACATTTTGGAGCATCCCAACCAGAATCCTGGCCTAAATCTGAAATAAAATGTGTGCAGGAAGTTAGAGATTAGTGTGATGGCAAGGAGGCCTTCCAACCTTAAGCATCTGAAGCTCATCACCAAGGTTAAAATACCAAACATGCAGAAAACTGGTCAGCAACTGTGACAAGAGGCTGACTACTATAATAGTAGAAAAGATTTTTCCATGTACTACTGAAAAAAAAAGAAGTAAATTCCTATTTAATATTTAAAATGGAAACTCCTCTTCACATTACGTGGTACAATTGTAAGCACATTTGTTGCATGTTTATATCTTTCAATCTGATTTTTCATTGTCTTTACTCTCCTTTTCAAGCTTTAACTCATTTATTATAATTAATTAGGAACTGGTGAAAGCGGGAAGAGCACCTTCATCAAGCAGATGAGGATCATCCATGGAAAAGGATACAATGAATCAGAGAAAAAAGATTTCATCAAGCTGGTGTGTCAGAACATCATCACAGCCATCCAGGCACTGATTGAGGCCATGGAGACTCTGAAGATCGACTATCATGACGAACAAAATATCGTAAGAACGTGTCTACTTTTTGTGTGCCGTTAGAAAAACAAACAAGAACAATATCTTGGTAGTAGTAGAGTAGATAGATAGATAGATAGATAGATAGATAGATAGATAGATAGATAGATAGATAGATAGATAGATAGATAGATAGATAGATAGATAGATAGGTAGGTAGGTAGGTAGGTAGGTAGATAGATAGATAGATAGATAGATAGATAGATAGATAGATAGATAGATAGATAGATAGATAGATAGATAGATAGATAGATAGATAGATAGATAGATAGATAGATAGATAGATAGATAGATAGATAGATAGATAGATAGATAGATAGATAGATAGATAGATAGATAGATAGATAGATAGATAAGATAGATAGATAGATAGGTAGGTAGGTAGGTAGGTAGGTAGGTAGGTAGGTAGGTAGGTAGGTAGGTAGGTAGGTAGGTAGGTAGGTAGGTAGGTAGGTAGATAGATAGATAGATAGATAGATAGATAGATAGATAGATAGATAGATAGATAGATAGATAGATAGATAGATAGATAGATAGATAGATAGATAGATAGATAGATAGATAGATAGATAGATAGATAGATAGATAGAGACAGACAGACAGACAGACAGACATATACAGTATCTTCACACCTAAGATAAATCCCTCTGCTGTTGAGGGCTGTAATTGCAGTTGAAATGAATTATCTTTTTTTTTTTGTATACTTCTTTCCTGATCAGTGACATCATCATTCGAAATTGTTGTGTGGCAGAACAAAATACCCCCATGCTCATCAATGTTACATGAAATGTAAATGGTTAATTCCCACTAACATGGTTATTTTTAGGTGCTGTTGTTTTAAAGTCAGGTAAAGTAGCTGATGAAAATCCAATTGACTCACTCGTGTCCTCCACTCCAAAGATCTATTTGTTTCTATGACAAGCTTACGGTTGCAGGATTTTTTTTTTCTGTGGCCTGCATTGAAAATTTTATACCAAGTATAACTTCACAGAATTTCCCTTTGAAGGTTGTGAACTGACCCTCTACGTAACCTGAGGAAATGGGTTTGTTTATTTCCAGAACTGACAGGATTCCTCTAATGATACACCTTAGATCTACCAGCCAGCAAAAACTTTACATTTAACATTGTTAAAGAGTTCTGTTTTAGCTGACTCGCTTGTGGATGTTTTTGCTGTCTTTTGCTTTAGCGCAATGCTGAAAGACTGAAAGAAGTGGAGGAAATTCAGGTGAAAACACTGGAGCCCTGGCAGGCGGACGCCATTAAGCAAGTGTGGAGTGACCAGGGAGTACAGCAGTGTTACGACAGGAGGCGAGAGTTCCAGCTGTCAGACTCTGCCAAATAGTAAGGCTTTTTTTCCCCCTTTACATGTCAGATTTCAGTGTTAAAAAGATGCGCCTCTTTTTTAATATCACAAAATAATCTGACCTTCTGTTTCCTAGAAGGTGTTTAGACTTAAAATTCAAGACAGACTTTTTGTCATCTCTTGTGCACAACTGTTTATCAAAAATTATATTTTTTAACCTCAGGCTGGTACAAATAACCAAACAGAAACACAAATAAGATACAATTATATGAAATGGGAAGAACTTCACTAGTGATGAAATAAAATAGTAAAAAAACAAATGACAGGATGAATGGTAGGGCCTGTTGCTCCTGTGAAATCAAAGACTCCATTAGTGTGAATTTTCTGGCTACAGTTGATCATAATTAATACTGTATTATATTTTTATTTATTTATGTCAAACAAGTTGTAAAAGACAAGAGAACAAGCAATCATTGGGACAGAGAAATAACACGAGCTTACATAAACAAGAACACAATTATTTGCTTACCACTACTTTTCTGTTTGAAAAGGAGTAAGGAGAAGTGAACTGTTTGAAACTTTACATGCACAAACCTTACGGACTGACACTTCATGACAACAATCATAGACATTCATGAAGACTTCTTCATGTTCATGACATGTTATATGTTACGTCAGTATTATGCACATCCCATCAAATAAAGAGTTACTGCGAACCCTAATTCAATCACATCACTTACGTGTAATTAAATATATTAATTGTAATGTAATTAATTAAATGTAATTAAATATATTACCTACAGACTCAATAATTATGTTATAATATTCTGTGCAAAAAGTCTGTTACAAACAATGATTTAGCTGGTGTCAATAGAATATATATATATATATATTTTTTCCTTTTAGTTATCTGAGTGATATGGACAGAATCACGGCCCCAGATTACATTCCCAGTCTGCAGGACATCTTGCGGGTCAGGGTTCCCACCTCAGGGATCATAGAGTACCTATTTGACATGAAACGAGCCATGATCAGGTATGATTTTACATTGTTTTGATGAGCTGGAAGCCAAACTGTTAATAGAAAAAGCATCTGTTAACACATTTCCTTAAATATGGGAAAACAAAATGTTTTCTGTAGTGATTTTAATCTTTTCTTTTTTTTATTTATTTAACTTTTTGAAGGAAATCAGTAAAATGAGTGACTAAAAAAGTTGTTGCTGTTCATATAGGATGGTGGATGTGGGTGGCCAGCGCTCCCAAAGGAAGAAATGGATCCACTGCTTTGAAAATGTCACCTCCATCATATTCCTGGCAGCCCTCAACGAATACGATCAAGTCCTTTTCGAGAGTCAGACAGATGTATGTTTTAATCCCGTAGAGTCCTGAATACAGTGTATTTTTTTCCGCAGCTTAAATATTAAGATTAGGCACGACTCTTCCTGTTTCCTCTCTAGAACCGGATGAAGGAGAGCCTCGCCCTGTTCCAGACGATCCTCTCCTCCAAGTGGTTTCAGGAGTCGTCCACCATCCTCTTTTTGAATAAAACAGATTTGCTGGAAGACAAAATTAGAACATCTAATTTGGCAACATACTTCCCAGAATACGAAGGTAAATTATACTTATTTCTATTCTGACTGTAAAACTTGACTCTTCAGTCATATGTTATACAAAAGGTCAAATTCCATCTGCCTATAATGACTTATTGATTTTGAGTTTGCATCTTTCTGAGCCTCATTTGTGGTTCTGTATTTACGTTTACATTTTTGCATGCTGTGCATTTTTATTTTGTGACATGCAACAGAATTTCACTGGCTCTGTCTAAAAAAAGTGTTACACACGGAGACATCGGATTCATACCATCGAAGCAGTGAATGCACCTGTGTTTAGATTTTCTGAATTTTCTCCAGAACATTTGCTGTAGATTTGATGGAAATCAATTCAACAGATGGTGCTTTTAAGTCATGCTCTTCCTCTTTCACAGGGCCTTCCCAAGATGCTGAATCTGCAAAAAAGTTTATTGAGAGGATGTACAAAAAGCACCACAGAGATCGTGAAAAGCCCCTCTACACTCACTTCACCTGTGCCACAGACACAGAAAACATGAGGGTTATCTTCAGATCAGTCAGAGACACAATCTTTATAGAGAACATGGAATCGTTAAACCTTCAATAATGAAGCAGAGAGGTTTTTTTTTGTTGTTGTTGTTCTTTTATGTGGTGGTAACGACAGGTTCCAACAACAGTTCTGAATATCTGGTTGGTTTTTTGGCTTTCATTTTAATTTGTTTAAAACGCGACAAATAACAGAAATTCAGAAACGGCTGAGCCAGCAAGGCAATCTACGCTGACTTTAAATGATGTTTTATTGTAATAGCTGCGCATTTAAGGTTGTCCAGTTTCAAATATACTATAGCAAGAGGTAATACATGTACAGCATTGACATATATTTAATGTGCCTACTTGGGAATTATGTGCGTTTTATAGTTTTCACTTGAATCAGATGATGTATCTCTTGGAATGTTCTTTGAATGAAGAATGCCACAAATCCTGCTCTGCAGCTTTATAAGAATGACTGCAGACACCATAAGCAAAGAGACATGAATTTATTTTCGTTTTAAATTCACAGCAATAATGACACAATGTTTTACGGTAAAATAAAAATTGCTTTTTGTTCCCACTGTCGCCAAATCGTTTTTGTGGCAAAACTTAACGTGTCCTTTGTTGCACAATTTGAATTAAAATGTGTGTTCTCACTTTCAATTGTACATAATTAAAAGCCTTGATTTGTTTCTACTTCATTTTCATTCGTTTTTTTTGTAAAAACAGTGTGAACCTACTTCATTTAGAATAATCACCTAGGCTTTATTTGTTTCTCCACCTTGTCCTTTTGTATTGAAAAAAAAAAAGCTGTAGATTAAAGTATGAATGTGAAAGCAGATCCACATGACAAAACCTTTTCAGCTGGAACCCGCCTCTTGCAAAGCAGGAATGTGAAATGTACCTGAACTGGATCCTGTATGAGGAAGAATGGCAGCAGAAACTCCCCAACAATGTACTGGTTTCAGGGAAAAGATTTCCCTGACACGTCTGACAACTTCAGAGGACATTTATCTCAGTCAGCTGAGGCACACTTTGACAAACAGAAGCTGCTAAGCTTGGGGAACAATGGACGAGTGCTGCTTGTCTCCTGAAGAACAAGAGGGCCAGAGGATATCCAGAGAAATAGAGAAACAACTTAAACGGGATAAACTAAACCTTAAACGGGAACTGAAGCTGCTGCTTTTAGGTGAGAGCTGAGAAAATGATAGATTCTCCAACTGATTATGCTAAAGAAGTCGTTGTCTTCCTGACTGCTATTCTCACAGTAGAGAAATATAAATACATATATTTTATGTAGCTTTTAAGCAATTAGGAAATCTTAGAGTTTGAACTTTAGTTTCAAACAAACTGCCTTTTACATATTAGTAGAAAATATTTTGAATAAAAAAAAACAGATTTGGTTCTTTAAACCTTGTGTAAAGTAAGAACGCTTGCGTGTTCAGTTTGTGGTTTCTTTTACAATAAAAGATTTATTAATGCACCACAAATACGTTTTATGCAAGTTGTATATTTGTCTTCTGGTCTATTGTATCTCTGGTCATTTGGTTTGTGGTAGGTGTACAAAAATCACCTGTGCTAATTTTCTTGTGTAATATATTGTATGTTTTCAGAATGCATATTCAATATATCGTAGTGTCTGATCATAAATTAGAAAATAATACATTAAACAACAATGGTTAACAATGTTTTATACAACAGATTTTACTTTTGCGACATGGGGCTTCCTTGTAATTTTGTGTTTGAGTCAGGTTTTTTTCTTTATACCAGGAAGTTTCACTGAAACAGGAAATCTCAAGACAAGCTACACAAATCAGAACAATATTACCCAACTAAATAATACACCATAAAGAACATTAAAGGATCTTTATATTAAAACACATTAAAAGCATTTCTTTTTCCACATTCCTCCTTCTCTGCATAAAAAAACCTGAATCAAACACAAGATTACAAGGAAATCTTATGTTATATTTAAATAGTTAATGAATGCCTTGTAAGATCTGTCGACAAACCTTTCGAACATGTTCATGATTTTATTGTCTCTCTTTTCTTTTTTTTTTTTTTTTTTTTTGCAGGAACTGGTGAAAGTGGGAAGAGCACCTTTATCAAACAAATGAGGATCATTCATGGCCAGGGGTACAGTGACAGTGACAGAAAACAATTCACTCGTCTCATCTTCCAGAATATCTTCACAGCCATCCAGACACTGATTGGTGCCATGAAGAATCTAAACATTGCCTATGCTGATGCCCAAAATGCTGTAAGAAGCTCAAAAGCAATTGTTTATAAGTCCACTCTGACATCTCTTTACAAAGGACTTGTAGTGCTGTCCATGGTCTCTTTATTGATTCACTGCCAAATGTAACCCCTCTCCAACTTCTCATCATAGCAAATCTGTATTTTGAATGAATGGGTTATCTTTTGTGCGCGGTGACTTTTGCTAAGTTTTCTGCCAGTCAAATGCTCTGGAAACTGATTGTTACAAATTGCTCCACTTGCAATCCTACCATTGAATCCATCCGCCAACTCCCTACAAATAAAATTGAATATACATTGATGGTCGAAATGTGTTGCAAACGCTGTCCGAATGTTTTTCACATCAGGGAGATGCAGAGAAACTGAGCAAAGTGGAAGATTTGAACGTTTTCACGGGCTGGCAGGTGGACGCCGTTAAGCGAGTGTGGAATGACCGGGGTGTACAAGAGTGCTATGAACGTAGAAGGGAGTACCAGCTATCAGACTCTGCCAAATAGTAAGATCTATTTAAAAAATTTTAACATGGGTATAAATGACAACGGTTTCTGACAGCTAAATGCATGTCACAGTTTTAAAACTACATGTTTTGTTGCCAATCTTTTAGTTATCTGAGTGACGTGGACAGAATCGCAGTCCCAGGATATGTCCCCACTTTACAGGACATTTTGAGGGTCCGAGTAGCAACGACAGGCATCATAGAGTACATGTTTGATATGTCAAAGGTCATGTTCAGGTATGCTGCTACTTTGTTATATATCTATCACAAATTCATTGAAAAAGGTTGACTTTATCACTTTCACCCTAATTTCTAGGACTTCATTTTTGCATGCACATTGAATTTTTGTGTTCTTTTTAAGAAACAAAGGTGAGAGTTTTGGTCAGACCTATTGCAAGCAGAGTTTCATATCAGCATGTCATCTGCCTCTAGGATGGTGGATGTAGGGGGCCAGCGTTCAGAGAGGAAGAAGTGGATCCACAGTTTTGAAGACGTCACTTCTGTCATATTCCTGGCGGCTCTAAGCGAATACGATCAAGTCCTTTATGAAAAGCAGGATGAGGTATGTTCTGATGCCGTCACAGATACTCTGTTCTCCAGCTTCAGAAGAGTCTGAGCTTGGTGTTTGTAAAGTTTATTTCAATTTGCTGTTTTAGAACCGACTACGTGAGAGCCTCGCCCTGTTTCAGACAATCTGCAGTTCTAATTGGTTTCAGAACGCTTCCACCATCCTTTTCCTGAACAAAAAAGATCTTCTGGAAGAGAAAATCACCAAGTCACATTTGAAAGACTACTTTCCACAATATACAGGTAAATGTCATTCTGCTACACTTGTTTATTTATTTATTTTAATGAAAAAAATGTGTCCCAATCATTATTTACAGTTCTAAAATGTATCACTTTTCACAATCACGTTTTAAGAAAAAAGTATTTCGCTTTAAAGATCATTTGCTTTCCAGTTTACATTTTCGTAATTTTTGGTAGTGAGAATTTACTACCACCAGTTCACAAACAATTGTTAGCTATTTTTTCTGGTTCTGCTTTTTGACCTCACAGATGAAATGCTTTAGCTCTCAAATGCTTTTTATAGTTTGCAGGAGAGAATTTGTTCATACCAAGTGTCAGGAACAGATTGTTCGTTCAAAACCTGCAAAATCCATATAGAGAGGCTCAAACAAACGAAAGCAGGAGTTTCGTCTTAGAGCCTCTTGCTTTGAGGAAACAATGCCAACAATCACTACAAAATAAATAAGTAATTTCAGAGCCTAAAACAGCCTCAAAAGGCATGTTTTACTTTGTGGTAGAAAGAATTAGTAGCACCTCTAATGAAGGTAAAATGTCCAACAGGAACTATGTAACTTCTCTATAAAGAGAAACATGAACTAAACTGTAAAACTCAGCTTCCCCAAAAATGAACACAGAACCACTGATTATCCATTTCTGGTGGTTGGATCATTATCTGTCCTTGAGCCTCAGGAGACTCCCTTTTGATGGCTTTTGGTGAAGGCCATCCAAAAGCCTTCACCAAAGATTTTTAATTTCAAATAGTTCATGGCACCATGTGCAAAACAGTTTGATGCATCATGAACTATATATTTATATAAAAAGGCAAATTATGAATACAGCTTCTTCATTTGCACTAATCCTGTCCACTCTCCCTCCAACAGGACCGAGTGGCGATGCCAATTCAGCACAAAAGTTCATCGAGAAGATGTACGTCGAGTTGCACAAGAAGGATTCAAAACCCCTCTATACACACTTCACCTGCGCCACAGACACGGAGAACATCCGGGTTGTCTTCAAAGCTGTCAAAGACACACTCTTCCAAGATAACCTTGAAAAATTCGGCATTGTATGAGAGAAAACCAAGTGTTGACTTTTATCTTCTGTAGCCCAAAAGAACAGTCACAAATACATGTTGCAATGTGTCGATATTGGCATACTGCCAGACTCAGGTTTTTCAACCATAAAAAAGTATCAAGGTGATGGTGTTAAAATAATTTTATTATACCAATGTGTCAAAGTAGTAAATTATGAAACAAATTCTATTGAAGTTATGCAATGATAATTCAAAAAATCTTCAAACTTGTTACCTCAATACATCATCCTGATGTGTTTAAAAGATTATCCTCATAGATGGCACCAAAAAGACAAATACAAAAATGAGCTAAGCAATCAAAAATACTTACCGATAATACCTCAGAAGGTGACCTAAGTTCAACTGAAAGGTTTAACATTCATGTTTCCACCCACCTGCTGTGCAAATTGTGAGCAAAATTTTAAAATGTAAAAAAGAAAGTGCAAATTTGGTGAGTTTCCACTTATTGGTTCGGCCACCTGGAGATCATTTTTCATCAGATGTTGACGCTACACACGGCTGTACAAGAAAATGAAAAAACACACATTTTCAGGCATTAATCAGATTTAAATCTGATTAACAACCTAAATTCACGCTTGACTCTGCGGTTATTATTCTTCCAGTCTTTATTCTGGCTTTTCTCAAACCGCGGGTCCAAATGTCCAAACTTTTGCAAGGTGACAAACTCTGGTTTGGTTTTTATCCATTTACAAAACTTCTGTCCCATCCAAATTCCTCTGACATGTTCTGGGTGACCTTTGATGTGTGGCGCGTCTGTTGGAGTCGGGCCACGACATCCTCTTTCTATTCTTTGTATGACTTGCAGTTGCCACAGAGCATTTATAGCAAACCTTATCAGTATGCTTATTGAGGTCTCTTATTTTGGAATGACCGAGTAAATTTATGCTAGTGTCTTGGATGGGACATTACAGAAAGTAATCCATGAAAAATGCATTATTACTTTGGCAAAAGGGCACATTTGGTGTAATGTTTTTCTTCCTAAGAAATTATAAAACCTATTTGTGCTGGAGCACTGAACACAACACATTTGGTCACCTATGTCACCTATGTTTTCAAAATGCAAATCAATAAGAACTGATCATTTTTCTTGATACAACTTCTTCAGCAACGATGTTATTGGACAGGCTTGACCAAGTTTAACTCAGTATAATCCAACACTTCCTGCGTGACAGCTTTTAAAGGAGGAAGTAAAAGTCTCCCCAGCAGACAGCTAAAGCACTTGTCTTTTTTTTTCTTTAATCAACAGTGATGATGGGAGTTTTATTTAATAAAATCCTTTAATATGTGTTAGTCACTACTATCTTTTTAAAATACAAACAATAAAGCTTCAGATTGTGTATGCGTGTGTGATAAGGCTTGAATTAAAGTGCATCTGTGTCTGACTGTTTTCCATTGTATGTACATAAAAATACACTTTATTATAATTTACGTTTTTTGAAGGATTTGTGATGAAATACAGCATGTCTAAGACAAAATCAACTCTGGTCTGGTTTCAATTATTTTTAAATCTAAGTTTTACGTTTAAGCTTGCGCTGCTTTCCTTGCACTCATGCTATGAAACACAGTTTATTTTGCAGACTGTCATTTATTGTACTTTCGTGGTCAATCAAAGGGGGAAATAAAGCTAAAAATTAAATTAAAATGAATCTGAAAGCAGATTGTCACAACCAAGCGTTTGAGTCAGAGCATGCTGCACAACAGGAATGTCCCTGAACCAGTCACCAGCTCACTGGTTCGCTATTTCTGGAATGAGAGTCTGACAAAAAAAAATAAAAAAATCAATAGACAGCAATATCACCAATTACTGACAGGTGCAAAAACTTCGACAACCATAACGCATTTCTAATTTTCTCCTGAAGAAAAAGAACCCTTGAGGATTTCCAGAGAAGCAGAAAAAACATTTGAAGAATCAAAAGAAAGTAAACGGAGGTAAAGCTACTGGTTTTAGGTGCGCTGTTTTACTGATAGCACTGATATTTTTAAGACTTAATTAAAAGAAATGCTTCCAAATATCTATTTTAAAAACTGTGAGGTAAAACTGGAGCCCACATGAAGTTGGAGTTTGAGTGGAGAGATCTTAAAAAAATAAAATGCTACTAAAAATTTGATGATGATTTATTTACATTATAAAATGTGACCTCAAAACAGACACAACACTAATAGCCAGGGGAGTGGAAGTTATTTTCGATGATTTCAAAATTCCCAATGAGTGAATGCTTTGCCTCCTTTTTCTGGGACAACTTAGCTCTCAGTATCCAGGAGATATTTGCCATTACTGTGTATTTTTTGACTGTACAGTAACAACAAACTTAAGCAGAATCTCCTCTGTCCTGGCTGGAAGGTAAAAGAGTTAAAATGGACTCTTTTACCTTCAAGCAGATGTGAGCAGAATTACAATTTAACAGCTTTATATACATTTATGCAGTCATTGTTTTTTAGGGAACTTGTTTTCTTAACTGGTTCCCTGATCACAGCCACACACTTCACTCTATGGTAGCCATTCTGTCCCATTTATTAGGTTGCAATAGGAATCACAGTTCTCTGTCAAATTCTCTCCTGACTGCTGAATCTTTCATCACATTCTGACCATGAAGCCAGGAATCACACATTTTCTCCTGTCTTTTACTTTAAATGAAGTGGAGTTGTGAAAATCTCCATCATCAGGCACCTAAAAATATCTCAAACACCATGCGTGGTTTTGGTACAGTTTGAACCTATTTAGGACTATAAGGTTAAAGCCAGGCTAGCTTTTATGCTGAATCTGCAAAAATGTTTCCTGGGAAAACTGTCTTGGAAGCTCAACAAAGATTGTCATGAACCCCTCAACACACTCCTGCCACTCAAGTAACTTCCAGTCGAAGTTATTTTTCCCCCAAATCGTCTTAATGCCACAGGAATAATCACAAACACCAATGACTCCGAATCCTGTTTCTTTAATATTTAGACTTTACTGTGTGAACTGAACCAAACTGCTTCCATCATCTCAATGCAACATCAGTCAGTCTGCTGAACTTCAGCCAGGAAGTGTGCAATTCATCCTGCCTCACAGTGGGAAGGAACAAGAATATCCTGCAGCTTTGAACATTGCTTAAGTTTGTACTTTTTGATTAAAAGACGGTGTTTCTTTACTTTTTGCCTCTTCACAAAGACATTTGTGTGTGATATATATTTTTTTTACGTAATATCTGTGCACCTCTTTTAAGAAAGGTGTCTGACTTAATGCCTGAAAGTCAATCAGGTCTGTAAAGGTACTGATTAACAAAAGGCTTCCTGGCATGGTGAACTTTGAACTTGACAAGTCAGTTTAACAAGCTGCAAGGCTTTCCTCCACGTGTCTACATGTTGCTGAGCAGCGTAAGTGACTAAAATGGTTTCTGTTTAGCTGAGCAATTGTATGTATATATAAGCTGACAATCAAATTATATTTAATCCAGCAGTTTTATGATTGCACTTTGTTTTCTTTATGGCTGAATAGTTCAACGTGGCCCAGAGAAACAACATTAGAACAACCAGAATAGGAAGAGAGACTCCAGGTGCTTTAGTTATCTTTTTTTTTTAATTGCAAATACACAAGACATTGTGGCAGTATCTCTTAGCACAAACAGTCCAGGCTGCAGACTGTTACACGCGGCCAATAACGCCACCGTGCAAACAAACACAGAGATGATATTTAGAGGAAATTACAAGCAGACGCGCACTTCTTGCTATACCCGTTCTGTAGCACCGCCTGAGGAAGCAGAAGAGAGCTGCCGTGGCAGGTGATGCCCTTATTTGGAAGTGACCCAGATCACGTGATCACAAAATGGCGGAAGCTGTGAGCTGTTCATAAGCTGAGCATCTCCATCGAGAGGCTTGGAGCAGGAAAAAAAAGGGCTGTGCATCCATGCTCTGAGACACAGTGGGACAGAGATTCCCAAGCCCCAGCAGCGGTGAGTAGACGGCTTTTATTCAGTGGAGATGAAAAGAGGTGTATGCTTTGGGGGGTTTTTTTGTTTGTTGGTTCCCCCCAACCCCCCTCTCCTCAGCCAGCAGAGACAGGAAGCAAGAGAGAGGGAGGGGCTGCTGTCATCAGCACCATGATCCTGTGCTGTGATGTGGAAGTAAATCTGAGGCAGCATCTTCCAAGGAGGATGTCATTTTGTATGATTCAGCAAAATAGACCTGGGTACCAGCATAGATCTGAATGTAGATCTGTGTTAAAGTGTGTACATTTAGGTGTGTGCGTTTGTGTGTGTGTGTGTGTAGACATCCCGGGGAAGAAGACACACACATGCAATCTTCATTGAGGCAGTTATTTCGACAGTGCGGCTTTCACAAGAGCGTTCAGCGTTTTTCTGTTTCAGCTGCTGATGCAATCACATTTCCACCGTTGCCCTGAAAGCCTGTCGAAGAGGAACAAGGATGGCTCTTTTTCATGCCAATAAACACACGTCATGTGACTCGCTGCAAATTTGCATCCCTGCCCAATCTGTGCTCAGGCAAGCGTGTCGTCTTTCGATTTGAATCAGCACTATAGGCAACACAGAGGGCAGTGAACCTGCCCCTATCTCCCCAACTCCCGCCCCTTACTCAAAGCACCATCCCCGCCTCCTCCACTCTCAATACAAGGATTATTCATAGTTCAAAGATGACCTTTTCAGCTCAGTTTCATGTGTTTCCACCATATTTGCCTGTTGCGAGTCCTAAACTTATTCCACCTGTTTTCTGTTCAGGGTGGAAGAATATTTCTTTTGATTTCTTCAGTGATGCACAAACTGAGGTTTTGCACCTCTTTAGATCTTTGTGATCTGGCGATCTCAGTGGAGAAGCTGAATAAAATAAAACAGCCAGCTACTAATCTTGAACAGAAACATTCTGGAATCTTAGGTGTTTCTGCACGAAGGCTGCTGTCTACATAATTTGCCACATATCTTCTAGCATTTTGACTGCTAGAATATATAGCAATTGTACTCACCACAGAAAGACTCAGTGTGTCATGTTCAAATGTCATAACGGTTTTAATTTCGCCTAAAAAATGAAGTTAACAATATTGGAAATCACGCTGAAACTTGATGTCTTTGACATTTCTGCAACGACCAACACTCCTTTATTAGTTTTAATAAACAGGAAACATCTTCAGATATGTTTTTCTCCCTAAGTGCCCCTGCAAACATTTTCTGTTGCTTTTCAGAATAATGCCTTCTTCATCTCTGAGTGACCTTTCAGTCCATGTCAGTACAGGACTGAGTTTAACTGTTCAGTCAGCATCTCCACTGAAGCCTTTTTGTTTTGTAGTTGATATACATTTTATATTAAAACACATTCATCTTTGAGGAATAGTATGATGGCTGGACATTCCCAGGTATATGTAGACATGTGTTGATCTGCAGTCACATTGATTACTGCAACAGTATCTTTACAGGTCTGCTTAAAAATATTAGAGAGCTGCAGCTGATCCAGAACGCTGCTACTCGCGTTCTCACTAAACTATCTTCCTGCACTGGCTCCCTGTAGCTCAGAGAAAAGACTTTCAAATACTGTTGCTAGTTTAAATCACTGGACAGCTCACCTCCACCGTACATTAAATATCTGCTGTTGTTTTACCAAACCTTCTAGACCCTTCAGGTCTTCTGATTCTGATCTACTCTGCATCCTCAGAATCAGAACCAAGCAAGAAGAAGCAGCATTCAGCTTCTATGCACCACAAATATGGAACAAATTGAAAACTCCAAAAGAGCTGAAACACTAATTTCCTTTAAATCCAGACTTAAGACATCTGTTTAGAGTTGCTTTTGAAACATTATCAATGAAGCATTGATAAACATTCTGAGGAGTAATGATCAGAATGTTTATTACGCATTCTGATTATTCATGTTTCGCTTGTTGACTGTGTTGCTATGACTTTGTGTTTTTGTGTTTTTATTGTGAAAAGCGCTTGTTGCTGAAAGATGCTATACAAGTGCAATCTGATTGATCGATCGATTGATTGAAATGAAGATGTTACATTTAAACATCTAGAAATTTGACCCAAGGATGAACCACACTTTTGTTTCTGTTACCTGTTTATTTTTCTGTAACATTTCATGCAACGGCATGTTTTAAGTGTTGGACTAAAATACATTTATGTATCAGAAGCCTAAAAAGTCATAAAAAAAATCTAGTGTCATCTGTAGTTTCAGTGTTACAGTAAGGCTCATGCATCTTGTTCCAAACAAAAAAAAAATGTGCTGGCCTAAAATCTGATAAAGTTCCATAATAGATCATATGAAACTATTAAAAGTTAGGTGTCAAACTAGTTTACAATAATTAGTCTTTGTTTAGAGTCGATATAATGACTAATGTCACCTACGTTATGTAAAATTACATGATGCTGTTTGTTTCATGTTTTTTGTTGGTGACCTTTTATATGGTACAGATGCGAATCACTTTCCTTATCCTTTTAAAAGGTCTTGTCCTTTTATAAAGTGCACTCTAAGCCTGAGTGGTAATTACAGATGCAT